TGGACTTCAATTCCCAGAATTCCCTAGCCAGCCACCTTAAAGTTGCCAAGGTTGAGAAACACTAATGGCAGGTACCAGAAAACCTAAGCACAAACATTAAAATACATGCACGCATGTGAATTCAAAGGGTCTAAGGAAATAACACCACCCTTGTATAAATGTATGAGGTTCTATTTGAAAAATGGTTAAGAAAGTGGGTTACAAAACTGAGAAGTCACAATTTCTTAGTCTTATCTGTGTCAAAAGCTAATTCCTTGAATGACATCAACAATCTTTGCAAACTTTTCTTTGAATTAGACAAGACTAGTATTGGCTTGCTTTAAAGGGCTAATAAAAGAACAGCTGAGATACACAGAGTTAAGCTGGTGTAGTAACCAGAGCGCTTTATGTGAACCAGAGATATCCGGATTCAAATTCCAGGTCAACCTCTGGACTGTTTACTATCTCTCAGCCAAAGCTACCTTTCTGATGAGCATGAAGGTGGTTTAGAAGCCATGTCCACCACCCTAAGAGCTTTGGAGGAAGATAAGATTAAATGGTAATAAATAAATAATGTATGCATACATACCCTTAGGAAGAGTACTGGGCAAATACTAAATCATATAGATCATTCACTATTTATTTCTCAATGTAATTTAGTACAGATAATGGAACAGCAGTGTCATTCAAATTGGCATCTTCTATCCAGGAGGTACTGTACTCTGTGCTTAACACAGGTACAGTGCTATCAGAGTGGCCTTTACAGTTCTGCCAGCACTTTAAGATGCCAACTTCATGTCCAAAGCAAAGGATTCAAACAAACTCGCACATCCTTTTTCAACATTTCATTCCTTGCTGATGATGGTTCACCCGAAAAAACTGGCCAAGAGAGCTAATGTGATGTAATGGTTAAGGTGTTGGGCTAGGAACAGGGAGACCGAGGTTCTAGTCCCTCCTCAGCCATGGAAGGAGTGTGGTGGAGAAAACAGGGGAGGTATGCCACCTTGAGCTCCTGAATTAACACTGGGATTTAAATCTAAGAAATAAATAACATAAAGATGATAAAATTCAGTTTGGGACAACTGGCTTCATTCCCATGAACAAACCAGGCCTGAGAGTGAAGGACATGGTGCTATGTGCCAACCCAAAGAATTCTGCCAAGCAACTTGCCTGAAAAGTCTTTCTTCTTGCCTCTGATATAATGTGATCTATGTGGACTGCACTGAAACATTGCCTCTTATAAAGCCAAGAGCCACACATAATTATTGAGTTGCACATTTAAGTTGGGACTATTTTCCCAAGATTCACTATCATTCACAAGTAGGAGTAGGATGCTGGAGAAAAGCAGGAAAAAGCAACTGCGTGCAGTTATCCAGGATTCCCTGTTCCATATACAGTATATACATGGTTTTATTGGATCATTACAGTCTTTACTTCTACTTCTTCTGAATGAGTCACCCAACCATATTCTGCTTTTTCTATTCCCTGTCTTTTAGAATACAGCTAAAAGGAAGGAAAACTCTGGGCTTGGATAGTATTGTGGTCAACACAGCTGAAAACTAAAAAATGGGCTTCTATTAAGGATCTCAAAGAAATGAAAACAGAAAAAAGAAAAGCATGCTGGCTGGGGAACTCTGGGAGTTGAAGTCCACCCGTCTTAAAGTTGCCACGGTTGAGGAACCCTGCTCTAGAGGATGGCTCCTGAACTCCACAGCAATGTCAAATGTAACTCCAACTCATACTGGAACCACAGATCTGTTCAGCTGCTCTGCAAAGCTAAATCCCATTAACACATTGTTAATTCTGTTCAAATTCTAATCAGCCAACAAAATCCTGAAAGGGGCCAAATGGCAGATGTCTCTGTTTATACTTGTCCATTGTCAAGAAGCTGTCCTGTGCTTTTATCCAAGTTTAATCGTGTGCAAAATCTCAGAAGTGTTCCACCCCGGCAATTCTATTCCCGGCTCAAAAGAGCAGTTTCTTTTCACTTCACTCTCCATTAAATGATGCAAATAAACTAACCCAGTTTAAAGCTAGAAACACATTTTGGATACCATTTTCTCCAGTTCCTGCCGGGTCGAACATTATGTGGCGATGATGCCACATATGAATGCCCGTTAACCTCTGAGTTAGTGACTTTTATGATGGTTTGTTCAGTCAATCAAAACCTAGCTTTAAAACAAACCCCAGCACTCTTTGGCAGCTGTGCTTTCAATAAAGAAACTCGGCAAAAACTCTGCAGAATGGGAGGGGTGTTTGGGTATTGCTGGAAGCGAAACAAGATAATGCCTGACCAAGTACTTTGACTTTATTCTGGGAAAGAACAGCAGTGCCAACAGAATTACTAGAATTACTATTTCTAGAAAATCAAAACGAAGAAACAGAAACTCTCCGTCAAAGGGACAAGTGCTCTCCCCGGATTTGGTTTGCCTTTAGTCACACCTTGCTTCAAGGCAAACTGAATCGATGCCAGATTCTGACCTTACATCAGTGTCAAACACATTTTTTTTTTGCTTGTGTACTTTACAGTTGCCAGAGGACATAAATAATCTAAAAACAGTGTTTTCTTAAACAGGAAACTAAAGAAGAATTGGTGTGTCACGGACAGCGTAGAAAGCATCTTCTCATGGTCGACTCCAAGTCAAATTAGTTTTCAATTATACCAGTGCCATACTGATATCTACAAATATCAACTGCTTTAGTTACAAAATGAAAAGAAACAATGGCGTAATAATTATTCAAGCA